GTACTTATTAATTAGAGTCTTTCTTGTAGACACCTTTGAGAATGAGGGAGCCAAAAATGCATTTATGGACGGAAAAAATTGATAATATGTTGTTCAAGTGCAAAGTTGATGGCTACTGCAATAGCGCATTCTTAGAAGGGATTATCTAGGAAAAACTTTGTCTATGCACACACATACACATGTTTTGTCTATTTGTGTGATGTTAATGATTAAAGTGACCATAAGAGGTCCAATAATTTTTTTCTAAATCTGACTTAATATATAAATGCATAGGGTATTATACTAATCAAATTGTTTCCATTCAAAATTGTGTAAAGCACCATGATGTGTTCTGGAATTGCTATCATCTGAATGTAAGTATGGATTAGGGTTTATAGTTGCTTCATTTGCAGTGAATATGCATTATAATTGTTTGATGCGGTTATGGAGAGAGAGAGAGAGAGAGAGAGAGAGAGAGAGAGAGGAAGAGAGAGGTGTATCACAATGAGTGTTTCTCACCAAATGATGTTTCATGCTCAGCATGGGGGCCCAGTCATGCTTATATACTTTCTGCGCTCAACTCTGCACCCATTAGTCTCTTGACACGTGGAGTTGCTCTCCCATCTGTCAGCACAAATCCAGCGAACACCACCTAACCAAACCGCCAGACAACATTAGCGGGAACTAGGCAGCCCGGCAGCATCACCTCGGCCTCACACAACCGTGCTACGTAACGAGTTTGAGGGCTCCACTCACCGAGCTCCATCACAAACTGAGCTTAGTAGCATCCCAGTAGAGCCGAGCTCAATACAGGTCGAGCCGGTAAACAAAAGGCCTTTCCCGCCGAGCTAAACGTGTGAACCATGGAACCCGGGTTGGCAGGCGATCATCTCGGCCAAGTAAGCTCGGCCCAAACACGGGACATGATCCTTGGCCGAGCAAAACCGACTCTGGACATGGACAAGCCCAAGTAGCTCGGTCCCAACATGGTCCTGGGCCTCGACCGAGCAAAACCACCTCTGGACAAGCCCAAGTTAGCTCGGCCCAAACACGCTCGGACATCATCTGCCCGGCTTCTACCACGGCCCAAACCAGCTTATGAATCTCCCTCTCAATATCTATAATTGACTTGTTTATGTTTATGTTTTATAATTTTGTTGCTGGTTTCTTCATGGAAATGCCTTATATTGATTTATCTAAATAGTAAGATATTGCTTGCATTTTCCTCTTCAAATATAAGTCATCAGTATTGTTTCTTAGAAAAAACTACAAAAAAGAAAGAAAAAAAAAAGTCCTTTCTATACAATTATTTTTTCCATGAGAATTAAATTTTCAAGCATTGCATTTAGATCTAGCTAAAACCGCAGACTCTTTTGTCCTGTAGTTGCAAATTAGCTTTCTCTGTTTCACCCGTTACAATATTTTACCCAAAAAATTTCCAAAAGATTGTAGTTCCATTTGCGTATATGTTACCACTATCTTTCTATGACAATTGTGTGTATTTATTTTCTTACAAGCAAGAAACAATTTTAAAAGAATCATATGTACTTATTAATTAGAGTCTTTCTTGTAGACACCTTTGAGAATGAGGGAGCCAAAAATGCATTTATGGACGGAAAAAATTGATAATATGTTGTTCAAGTGCAAAGTTGATGGCTACTGCAATAGCGCATTCTTAGAAGGGATTATCTAGGAAAAACTTTGTCTATGCACACACATACACATGTTTTGTCTATTTGTGTGATGTTAATGATTAAAGTGACCATAAGAGGTCCAATAATTTTTTTCTAAATCTGACTTAATATATAAATGCATAGGGTATTATACTAATCAAATTGTTTCCATTCAAAATTGTGTAAAGCACCATGATGTGTTCTGGAACTGCTATCATCTGAATGTAAGTATGGATTTCGGTTTATAGTTGCTTCATTTGCAGTGAATATGCATTATAATTGTTTGATGCGGTTATGTTTATGAATCGGTAGGTGTCTTTTGTTTTTTTCTTTTTCAAAATCTCCATTGCTAAAGTTCTTGTGCTGATGATTTTTTTTTTTATCAGGAAAAAGAAACTTTATTGATGGAATAGACAAGTAGATGGTATCAAGCAAATTACATCAATAAAGAAAATGGAAGTGAAAAAGCATCACAATGAGCTAAATGATCCCAACTAGGTTAGTACCAAAAAGCTCATCCTAGCATTTGCTAGCACTCCCAGAGTTGGTGAGAGACCAATGAGGAGACAGACCAACCAACACAAAACAGCTAGTCATCTAAGACATCAATGCCTTACAGTCACCCATCTCACAGCCAGACCAAACAGATCAATGCCATAACTTTGCAGCAGCCAGACATCAATGTCGTACAACCACCCATCTCATAGCCAGTCATCTAAGACAGACCAACCAACACAACAACCCAACTCAGCCATTCAACCATTCGACCATTAGCAACAACTAAGACAGACTACACATTACAGCATGAACACAAATCAACAACATTCAGCAATCCGCCAATTATCTAAGAGAGACTAAACAACATTAAGCCTTGAGACTAATAAGGCCACAAAAATCCTCCAGTAGACAGGGCCATAAGCCTTGAGACTAAACCAAACAAATCAACACAACATAACTTTGCAGCAGCCAAACAGATCAGCAGCCTTGAGACTAAACCAAACAGATCAGCAGACCAATTCCAGCTCAAACAGATCAGCAGACCAACAAAACATAACTCTTCAGCCACAAAATAAATGAAGCCTCTGACTAATAGAGCAAAACAGAACAACAGACAACTAAAACAGAATATGTAGACTCATTATCAACCCCTAATATGTCTCAAGTTGAGAACTACATCAGTGACTGAAAAGGGGAAGTCCTTGATAGAGGCCTTGAGCCAAAAGGCTAATTTGACCTTGATTAGTTCCCACAGATCCACCGAATTAGGGTGGGCATCAGAGAATACACACTCGTTCCTATGCTTCCAAAGTGACCAAAGAACGACAAGGGGAATAGCTCTCCAAATTTTGGTGATTAAGCACTTGTATTTCCCACCCATCCACCAGTTTAGCAAACCTGCCACAGTTTGTGGGATTCACCATTGAAGCCCCCAGTCAAATAGCACAGCAGACCAAATGGACCAAGAGAATGGGCAATGAAGCAAAACATGATGAGCAGTTTCAAGGACAAATTTGCAGAAGAAGCAAGTGGTGGAGAGATTAGAACCAAGAATTGTTGGATTAATTTCTAATTGGGACCAAATATTTAAATGTGTGTGTTATCATTTATCAAAAGCCTCAAAATTTAAGTGATCTAATTTAGTTAGCAGGCTTAAAGGGTATGTTTGTCATGGACCTAGTGTGTAGATACTATTTGTACAATTTCTATTTCTATGAGGGGTAGAAATAGGAATTGTGTAAGTTGGTTATTGTTTGGTGTTCAACTGCCACGGTTGGTTTTCCTTGAACTGCCAACCAAAACAAAGGGTTATGGTCCCAATCCTGTGATGCATATACAAGAACAATACATCTTCTTCAAATCCTCTCTCTTGAAAGAAAGCATTAAGGGCATAGGAAAGGATTGGAAAGCATCACCACAGGCAATCCCGTCTGTCAATCACACTTCCGTTTAACCATAATGATGGATTTGGGTACGCAATTTTGTTTTGATTTCTTGATAATACACATGATACATGATCCAAAGTTTAAGTTTTTATGTTTTAATATTAACAAGTAAAAGCATTACCACAGGCAATCCCGTTTGTCAATCACGCTTCCGTTTAACCATAACGATGGATTCGGGTACACAATTTTGTTTTGATTTCTTGATAATACACATGATACATGATCCAAAGTTTAAGTTTTTATGTTTTGATATTAACAAGTGGTATCAGAGCGGTTATATCATGTCTATTATTAGAAATCGATATGCTATTAATTCATCCAATTTAGTTTCGTTGGTTTGTGGGCTTCCGCATTACTGTTGCAAATCCTGCATGTTTTTTGGTTTCCTGGTTTGTCATTCTGTATTTTCTGGTTTCTGGAAATTGTAAATTTTTTTTATTTACTACCATTTGCTATCATCGGTGATCATGAAATGGACAGTGGGTATGAATCCTTCTTATGGATTAGTGCATGTGTTTATATATATAATCTATATGGATGATTGTATGTATGAAAATGATGGCATCAGTTTGCCTTTGGATTCTGCATTTCCATATTAGATGATGGTTACCATGGCCACTATCAGTTTACAATCCTTTCATATTGTGCCTTTCTTGTACATGTGTTTATTTCATGTTCATGGCATCATGTATATATATATATATATATATCATGTGGTTTGTTTGTGAACATCGTGTACTAAAAAAAAAAAAAAATTTTTGGAATGCCGCGTGTATGCTTACGGTTATATATATATATATATATTCTATCTACTCTGTCTATGTTATTTGTTAGGTGTCACAACACATAATAATATGCAACCATTAACTTTTGTGGTTCAATTTTATGGTTAATAAATTAAAGAATCTTTAAATTTAAGTAATTTCATGCAACATCTACATCAAATAAAATCAATTGTCTAACATTCTGACTATAGGTCAATTAAAACAATATGTCGCCAAAGTGACCTCTCTTGTCTAGATTGATTTATAGGGAATGTTTGGATGTTCATGTATGTGTAAATCATGCAGGTCTTAACCGGTCCAAAGATCGGTTTAATACTTGGCAGAATTGTACACACATTTGTGGTGGTAAACATGTGATAATTATTCCGGTAACTTGATGTGAATAATAAATCAATCCAAAGATAGATTTGTTATTTGACATAACTTATTGTCAATGTTTGATCATTACATCAAGATTACTACTCACAGTTAATATCACTATCCAAACGCTTGGTATTAATGTTGTACTCGGTATCTTGAGATGTTGTCATAAACTTATGTGATATAGAGACTATGTATTTGCTTATTTGTTGTGAGCCTGATTATTTATTCGTTTTATTTTTATTCCTTCTTCAGCTTTAATGTCTACTACTTCAATATCTGCAAATGTGAACAATGTTCCAATGTTAAATGGAACAAACTTTAAGGACTGGAAAGAGAACATATTGATTGTTCTCGGTTGCATGGACATAGACTTGGCATTAAGAATGCCAAAACCGAATGATCTCACTGAACAAAGTATTCCTGAGGAAATTGTGTACTTTGAAAAGTGGGATCGTTCTAACAGGCTAAGTCTTATGATCATGAAGCGTGGAATTCCAAAAGTTTTTCGGGGTGCAATAACAGAGGATGTTACCATTGCCGGTGAATTTCTTTCGGAAATTCAAAAGCGTTTTGCTAAAAATAATAAGGCTGACACTTTTAGCAAGCTTGATTTCAATGAAGTATAAAGGCAAGGGTAATGTTCACGAGTACATTATGGAGATGTCTCATCTTGCTTCAAAACTTAAGGCACTAAAGCTTGACCTATCTGATGATTTGCTCGTGCATTTAGTTCTCATCTCTCTTCCTGTACAATTTAATCAATTTAAGGTTAGTTATAACTGCCAGAAGGAGAAATGGACTCTCAATGAGCTTATTTCATTTTGTGTGCAAGAGGAAGAGATATTGAAGCAAGAAAGGACTGAAAGTGCTCATCTGGCAAGCACCTCCAAGCATACGGGCAAAAGAAAGCATAAGGGAAAGGAAGTTATTGCTCCTAAGAGTCTAGAACCAAAGAAACAGAAAGTGCAAGATGGTTGTTTCTTTTGTGGCAAGCTCGGACGCAGAAAGAAGGATTGTGCCAAATACGCCGCCTGGCGTGTAAAGAAAGGTACATATTCTGTTTTGGTCTGTTCTGAAATAAATTTAGCTTCAGTACCAAGAAACACTTGGTGGTTAAATTCTGGTGCTACTACTCACATATGTGTTTCTATGCAGGGTTGCTTGAACTACCGAAAGCCAATTGATGCTGAAAAATACATCTTTGTGGGTGATGACAAGTCAGTAGAAGTGCAGGCAATAGGGCACTTTAGATTATTGCTGAAAACTGGTTATTATTTGGACTTAATAGACACTTTTGTTGTACCGTCCTTTAGACAGAATTTAATTTCTGTTTCTGTATTGGACAAATTGGGATATTGTTGTTCTTTTGGAAATATGAAGTTTAGTATGTCTATCAATTCAAATGTTGTTGGTACTGGTTTACTTAATGTGTTTGATAATCTATATTTGTTGGAAACTATTGCATCTTATAATGAAACCTTGCACGTGGAATCACGAGGTAGAAAGCGTAAATTAAGGAAGGAAAATTTAGCCTCATTATGGTACAAACGCCTAGGTCACATCTCTAAATCTAGAGTTGAGCGCCTTGTGTCTGATGGAATTTTGGACTCTCTTGATTTTTCAGATTTTGATGTCTGTGTTGAGTGTATCAAGGGAAAACAGACCAAAATGAAGAAATTTGGTGCCCATAGGACTACAAATGTCTTAAAATTAATTCATACGGACATCTGTGGGCCATTCCCTACAGCGTCTTGGCATGGTCAACAGTATTTTATCACATTCGTAGACGACTATTCTAGATATGGGTATCTATTTCTTATCCATGAGAAATCACAGTCTTTGGACGTATTCAAAAAATTTAACGCCGAAGTTAAGTAACAACTCAACAAACGGATAAAGAGTGTCAGGTCTGACCGTGGTAGTGAATACTATGGCAGATATTATAGATTAAGTGAACAACGTCCAGGACCGTTTGCAAAATACCTAGAGAAATGTGGAATCGTTCCACAATACACCACGCCAGGATCACCTAGCATGAATGGTGTATCTGAGAGACGAAACCGGACTCTTAAGGATATGGTAAGAAGTATGATTAGTCATTCTACTTTACCAGAGTCCCTCTGGGGTGAGGCTCTAAAGACAGCAACTTATATCTTAAATTGGGTGCCAACTAAAGCAGTTGCAAAAACACCTTATGAGCTTTGGGTTAGGCGAAAGCCTAGTCTAAAACACTTGCATGTGTGGGGGCGTCCTGCTGAGGTGAGGCCTTATATACCTCATGAAAGAAAATTTGACTCCAAAACCGTCAGCAGCTACTTTATTGGCTATGCCGAACGATCATGGGGTTACAAGTTTTATGATCCCACAAATAGGTCAATATTTGCGATGGGAATTGTAACATTTTTTGAGGATGTTGAGTTTGGGAGGAGAAATCCAGTTAGAGACATTGTCTTTGAGGAGGAAGCAGGAGTAATCCCACTTCCTACTACTACTTTTGACCAATTGCAGGTTCCTATACCTGTCATTGCTCGAGAAGTAACTTCGGATCCTCAACCAGACAATGTTGTTCAAGACAATATAGTTCAACCCCTCATTCAAGATGAGGAAATTGTTCCTGAGGAACAAACTCTACAACCTCAACCTCAAGAACTTGTGCCATTAAGGTGATCCACGAGAGAAATGAGATTTGCAATTTCGGATGATTATATTGTATATCTCCAGGAACATGAGGTAGAAAATAAAATGTCGAAAGATGATCCAATCAACTTTCGCCAAGCCATGGAAAGTTCCAATTCTCATAAATGGATAGAAGCCATGAATGAAGAATATAAGTCTATGCAAGACAATAAAGTTTGGGAACTTGTCCCATTACCAGTTGGTGCGAAGCCCGTAGGTTGTAAATGGATATTTAAAACCAAAAGGGATTCAAACGGTAATGTGGAGAGGTATAAGGCACATCTTGTAGCCAAAGCCTCTGCTCAAAAGGAAGGAATTGACTTTAAAGAAACTTTCTCTCCGGTTTCTACGAAAGATTTTTTTAGGACAATTACGGCGCTTGTTGCATATTTTGATCTTGAGTTGCATCAGATGGATATCAAAACAGCATTTCTTAATGGTGATATTGAAGAAACAATTTATATGGTGCAGCCAGAAAACTGTGTTGGGAGACCCAAAGAATATGGTTTTCAAATTGACTAAATCCATCTATGGACTCAAACAAGCTTCTCGTCAGTGGTACTTCAAATTTCATCAAGTTCTCACTTTCGTATGGCTTTGAAACTAATATTGTTGATGAATGTGTGTATCACAAGTTCAGTGGGAGTAAACACATATTTCTGGTTTTATATGTTGATGATATATTGCTTGCCACAAACGATATAGGCTTATTGCATGACACCAAGAGATTTCTATCTAAGAATTTTGAAATGAAACATTTTGGTGATGCTTCCTTTGTATTAGGAATCGAAATACACCAAGATCGTTCTCGGGGTATTCTAGGATTATCACAAAGGAGCTATATCGAAAAAGTACTCAACAGATTTGGCATGCAAAATTGTAAATCAGGTGAAACCCCGGTTGCCAAGGGAGACAAGTTTAGTCTCAGCCAATGCCCGAAGAACAGTTTTGAAATTCAAGAAATGCAGAAGATTCCTTATGGCTCGGCTGTAGGGAGTCTAATGCATGCCCAAGTATGTATGCGTCCGGATATTGCGTTCACAGTTGGCATGTTAGGCGGATATTTAAGTAGTCCTGGCATGGATCATTGGAAAGTAGCCAAGCGAGTTATGCGGTATTTACAGAGAACAAAGGAATATATGCTCACATATAGGAGGTCGGATAAGTTAGAGATCATTGGGTATTCCGACTCCGATTTTGCTGGATGCCAAGATAGTAGGAAATCCACATCAGGCTATATTTATCTGTTAGCTGGTGGAGCAATTTCTTGGAGGTCTGCAAAGCAGACGCTCATACCTTCATCCACCATGGTCGCAGAGTTTGTAGCATGTTATGAGGCATCAAATCATGAAATATGGATGCAGAATTTTGTCATTGGGCTGCATATTTTGGAAGGCATTGAAATACCACTTAAGTTATACTGTGACAATAAGTCTGCAGTTTTATATTCCAATAACAACAGGAGCTCGACAAAATCAAAGTATATCGATATCAAGTTCCTAGTTGTAAAAGAAAGAGTACAGAGTGGACAGATTTCCATAGAGCACATTGGGACAAACTCCATGATAGCGGATCCACTTACGAAGGGACTACCACCCAAGGTCTTTCATGAGCACACTGCTCATATGGGTGTTGTTCTATTTGAGAACATTTTGGTTTAGTGGGAGTTTGTATTTATATTACTGCTCTATGTCAGCCTTGAGTTTTATCTATGTAATTAGATTAATTTCTACAGAAATGAAGTATTCAGTTTATTACACTTTGTTAGGTATTTTGAAGCATTGATCTCAATAAAGTTAAGTAGGACCAGTTGGAAATAGGAATGTATGGATCACATTACTTGTAATTTCCATGCTACGCATCCATGATTGATCTATCTCATTTGGCTATATTGGTATACGTGACCATTGGTGGGTCGAGTTACGATTAATGTAACAAAGACCGCTTTGATCCTATATTAATATAGTTAATGGACAAGATTGTTTGGATACCCTCAGGTCATGATAACAAATTTCTGAGCTCACTAAAGTTAAACACATTTATTAGGTTACATATGTGGTCCAGTGGGAGATTGTTGGATTAATTTTTAATTGGGACCACATATTTAAATGTGTGTTTTATCATTTAAGGGCATAGGAAAGGATTGGAAAGCATTACCACAGGCAATCCTGTCTGTCAATCACGCTTCTGTTTAACCATAACGATGGATTCGGATACGCAATTTTGTTTTGATTTCTTGATAATACACATGATACATGATCCAAAGTTTAAGTTTTTTATGTTTTGATATTAACAAGAATACCAAGATTGTGTAAGGAGTCTGCTGCTTTAACTCTATTTTTCCAGGCCAACCATCCAAAGAAATGGACTTTGGGGGGTAATGTGTTATTCCAAATAAACTTGGTTATGCTAAGAGGAGGCCTAAGAAGAGAAGTGCTAAAGGAATATAGAGAAGAGAAAGAGAAGGAACAAGAACTAGCAGTAGCAGAATTCCAGACTAGACCATCAACACAATCTGGGCTCAATGTAGGAGCAGAGGCCAATAAGTTAAGCAGTCTAATTTCACCAGACCTTGTGCTGATGATTACTAGATACATTTACTCATATTGTCCAACAACAAAAATTTCACTTTGATTATTATTTATGCAATTAACTAATTATTGTTGTAATTAATTTTTCAATTTGCTTAACATTTGATAAATTTCACAAAAATGGTGCAAAAATGTGTGTTTATTTTTATTTCATAATTTTGTTCCTATTTTTATTTGAACTTTTGCGCTGTTTTCTTTTAGTCCCATCTTGAATTTGTAACCAGTTTTCACAGCAAGCCTGCTTACACTGAATTGATATTCAAAACTGGCAGTAATTGGTGTTTTTTTATTTTTTATTTTTGCAAATAAGAAAAGCAGTTATATTAATTACCTAAATCAATTGTAATATTACTATAGGC